AAAACAAAACAAAGCCACAAGCTGTAATTTGCAGTGGCAATAATACATTAACCTGAGCCCAAAGGCAAAACCTGAGTGGTTCATAGATGAACTACCAGAGCCCGCATAGTAAACCAGGGGCAGGAGAGGAAAGCGGCATAGGTCTATACCTCTTAGAAGAGAGGCTGGGGAGGGAAGCACGCTATCATCCTGTAAAACCTCTGGCCATAAAACAGTGTTTTTTCAAACTTGGCAACTTCAACTCCCAGAATTCCTCAGCCAGCATTCTGGGAGCTGAAGTCCACACATCTTAGAGTTGCCAAGTTTGAAAAAACACTGTTTTATTGGCAGAGGTTTTACAGGATGATAGCTTGCTTTCCTCCCCAGCCTCTCTTCTAAGAGGTATAGACCTATGCCGCTTTCCTCTCCTGCCCCTGGTTTACTATGCGGGCTCTGGTAGTTCATCTATGAACCACTCAGGTTTTGCCTTTGGGCTCAGGTTAATGTATTATTGCCACTGCAAATTACAGCTTGTGGCTTTGTTTTGTTTTTTATCCTTACCACAGGTCATCTCCGTCTACAAAAGATTTGGTCCAAACAATCAGATATGCTCTTCAAAAAAGCACTACAAGACCTGCAAAATGATAATGACTATCTTTCAATACTGACTTTGCACCCAACCATTTCTCCTGCTTTTCCTCAGCAGTCCCCCAACAAATTCAAAGACTTCATCCGGTATCTGCCCATCCACTTATCAAAATTCATTTTGAGTAAGGATCTCATATCTCCTGAACCTTTTTAGAGCTTCTCTTCTTTATGTTGTAGCCCCCAGTTGTGGGATGCTTTGCTTTCTGGAGCCTATTCAATCAACCCAGCTTCCTAATTGAGGGAAACAATTCTGAAAAGTTATTGATACTCCATGTTCCTCAAAAGTTAACAGGTATGCAGGTCGATAAACAGAGCAATCAGAGGTGGCCTGAAGACGGAAAAGCAGGGAGTGAATTGTCCAATATTTCTACCAGACCCAGAGAACTAAAAGGGCTGTCCAACACAGGGTAGTGGTGAGAGGATGAGAGGGTAGAGGATGAGAGCTTGCCAAGATGAAAATAATCCAGGTTATGTGGAGGTTTAGGAATTCTTCAGTGGACATGCCCAACTATTCAGCAAAAAGCCCTAAGATACTCTAGAATCAAGTACCATCACGGCTGACTCTGAGAAATGTGGAGTCCCAGTGTGAAGACTGTTCAGACTTGCAAGACTGATGGATACCTTCACTGGTTGCATTTGTTGTTTTAAAACTGTTGATGGCAGATGGAACCAATCTTTAATTTAGAATCTGGAGCATATTGTGTTTATCTCTGATTTGTTTTTGTCCCTATTGCTCAAAAGTCTCAGAGATCCAGAGGTAGAAGTTATGATGCAGTTTGCTGTCTGTTTAATGAACTAGCTCCCTTATCGCTCATTCATAAACCTCCACATAACCTGGAGGATTCTGCTTATAATCAAACCATTTTTAATTTATTCTAAGTAGAGAACATACTGGCAATCTGAATTACCACCCCATTCTCCTGCTGGGCTGATGGAGCCTATAGCTGATGAAATGCAGTAGCGTTTTGGTCAAAATCAATATGCTTCTTTTTCGGATTTTCCAGGAATGTTGGACCTGAAAACCTTAGCACAGTGTGCTTATGTAAGTCCACATTGGAACTTTTTGGTCAAACAACTTAAGTGTGATGTAGTAGCAAATCACGCCCTCCGAAGTCAGATTTCATTTTTCCAGGTATGTATAGGAGACTCATTTCCTCTTATCCATAGCACTGAAGTAGGTGGAGAACATTCCTTCCTTGTGATTGCTTCCAAGACCCAGAGAGCTTCCTTTCTGCTTAGAGCTATTGTCCTCTTCTTCTTCCTCCTATCTGCATCTGAGAAGGCAGCTTTTTAAGCGTGACAATTGACCAGCTTAACATCTGTAACAGCCTTCCCATGGAAACATCTGCCTGACTTAATAGGTTTATACTCTAGAAAGGGTTCAATGACTTGCTGTTCATATGAACTTTCTACTCATTTACAACATTAAATACTTGCCTTGTATTCTGGGATCTTCTGATGATCCTATTATCTAGTGTGGGTGTTTCCTTCTTCCTATTAACACTGGAAACTGTGGTTGCAGGGCTGGTTTTACCGTTAGGCAAAGTGAAACAATTGCCTCAGGCAACAATCAGCTCTATCCCCTCAAATTATTATGCTCCCTTCAAGTGTGGCAGAGGGTACTGTTTTATTGCCACTCATAAAATAAGAGTCAACAGCCAGCCTAGTTGACTTTTCTATTTGGGATCTGCAAGAGGAGACAGTCTAGGATAATCCCTGTGGGACCGTTTATTTACTACTTTAGAAGAGACAGATCAGTCAAAGAAGAGCAAACTTCTTGCAATTCTGGCATACCTGTACACTGATGAAAACTTGTTTGAGGAGCAAATGAAACTAACTGGGCATGCAGACTGGTTCAGTACTGTATGAATGGAGAACAGTGAAGGCGAAGTTCTTTGGTTAGGGTGAGACACGTACCTGCATATATTTATGTCTGGTGCAAATGGAGGTTACATAAACTGATATTTATCAAGACCCAGGACTGTGCAAAATTCCTTTGTGCTCTTGCTTTCAACCTGGGGAAGGCATTTAATTAATGTCAGTTTATAGATTAAAAGTTGCCTATAATTTCAAGATTACATGCTCGTGGAACTTTGAACTGGCATACATTTCCCAGGAATCTGCCCATCTCTCTTACAGTAAATGTGATGTGGGAAACTTTGTGAAGCCCCAACCATACCTTATTCCTCAATGGCTTATTTTCTTGCTCTAAATTAGATGGATTGTTCCAGATGATATCATTGCTGAAATGTCCCCGCACCACTAAGTACCGTATATTGAGCAAAACCATCTCTACATCTGTTCCTTACCTTCCACAAAGAGCCCTGTACTGTACTATTGCAGCATTCTGAATTTACCATTTCAGGGACAACTTCTTTATTTAAGGAACGGAATCCTGAAAAGTATTATGGTTTTGCAATTTTGCTTATCTCTTGCAGGGATCATGTCCTAAAGGAGCAATTGCCACCTATGCCAGAATAGTAAAGGTTGCTATTCCTCAAATCACAGCAAATGGTGACATCATCCCAAGCAGAACTAAGAAGCAATTCAAGGTAGATTGTGGGTGCTTTGCATTCCTGGAATTCTATGGACTGGCCGGTGGGCAATTCCAGGACTTTATGCAGTTATCATGTATAGGTGGCAGTGCCTAGTGGATTGTGCCTGGGCTTGAGAGCTAAGCTTGGATAAACATCATTTTTACTTGCATGGGAGACCACTCCAGGGAATTCTAGGGCTGCAGACTAAATCAGGAAGTCAAAAGATATCCTGGAAGATGGCAGTGGCAAATTACTTCTGTACTGTTGCCCAGAAATGAATGAGTCCGTGCACAAGTTAGTCTCAAGGCAATGTTACCATTATTTAATTATTCATCACTGCTATGTGACAGATGGAAACTTTTGAACACAGACAGGTAGAGCTTTGCTTCCCTGGAACTATATTGTTTCTCTTTCTAAAGGAAGAAAGGTCAATGTATAATTATGGGAATATGCATATTCTTTGTTCTGGTTAAACTGCTGAGGAGGAGAAGGGGAGGGGAGAGAAAGAGATCCAGCACCACTTCTATCTATCACCATTGCTGTTTGCTTTGCTTTAAGGATTTTGACTTCCAACAAAGTTCATATCAAGACCAAAACATTGAATACTTGCAGAAAGCATACCATGGCCAAGAGACAGAGGCTGTCAAGTTAGAGGAAAGGAATATCTTCTGCAGTGGCTACAATGTTCGTATTCTAATAGACAGGTATGTGTCTGTGACAGAGAACATACATACCCTCATCCAGTTCTCATTCATCTCACCAAACCCCCACAAGAACTGCCTCACAAATATAGCCCTACAGCACATGGAACCTTTTGCGTCCAAGGAACTATCCTTCCAAGGGTCTGGGATGTGGCTGATTGATAGATTGATATGTTAAATATCTCACATTTCTTCCAAGAGCTCAAGATGGCTTATATGGAGACCTTCCTTCATTTTACCCCCACAACAGCAATCCTGTAAGGTAGATTGAGCTGAGAGAATCACCCAGTCTTAGTTCAACACCTTACTAGTACACCACACTGTCTCTCACTTGTCTTTCAGGGGCCCTTCTTGCTATGGTGATTCCATGTCAATGTGCAGCAGACAATGAACATTTTTCACCTTCCCTCTCCTTTCTCCTTCCTTCCTTTAAAATAATTAAAAAATAATAATCTGGCAACATTTTTGAAAGACAAAATGAATATAAATACTATATGTTTGTCCTTGGGTAGCTCAGCCAATTCAGTAGATGTAACTGGGAAATTACTTGTCCTGGAGCATCATATTGTCTGTCTCAACTGGTATCAAGCTTCCTTAACTCCCCTCCAATATCCACGTCTCTCAACCATGTACTGTATATTTCAAGTTTGTTTTATCCACCCCATAGATAAGGCATAGTAATTCATTTCTGGACACATTCATTCACAAATAAGCATCCTGCTGTTTTAAAATGTGTCTTAAGGTTCTAGCAAAGAAACGATTTTGTGAAACAAGGCAAAAAGATCGGAAAGATGAGAGACCAGACAGAAAATAAACAAACTAGGAAACTGGAAATACTACTTTCTTCCTCCTTCTTTCCTGGAGCCAATATATCTCCTCCTAATAAGTTTGCAAAAAACATATTCATTTACAAAGCCTACTTAAATCTTGCCCATCCCTGATGGTTTTTGCCCATCCCACCAGTTCTAGCAGAGTGGGTGTGCTCCAGTTCTCCTTGGTGAAGCAGTGTCACCTAGTGGGTCCCAGGAAGTATATTTTCTCTGCCATGGTGCCTGCCTTATGGAACAGCCTCCTCCCGGAGATTCCGACAGCCCTGACTCTGGTGGCCTTCTGATCCTGGCTTTTCCCTCAGACATTGGGGCCAGGATGTTGATGGAGCCCTGGCATTTGTGTACTGCCATTTTGGTAAGATTTTTTTAAACGGATTTTTTAATTGGTTTTGATTGTGTGTGATGCTTTTACCTTTGGTTCACTGCCCTGATGTCAGCCTTGTGGGGCAGACCAAATAGGAAACACAACCAGATGAGCTAATTCTACTTCATTGTAAAGCTGCATTGACAGAACCTTGCAAGTCTGAAAGTACATTTCTCCCCCCATCTCCTTTACAGCCCGAGAAACTAGGGAGGGTCTCTTCTGAGCCTCTTGCCCTACCCAGTATCCAGCTGCGGGCTATGCTGCCTCTTATCTGACCGTTCTCTTGGCAGCATCGCTTTGCCCAGCCTCCCAAGGTCAACCCCACATGCCATTACACCAGAGTTCCATTGGTTGGATAGGCAGCCATATACATTTGTTTAATAAATAAATATAAGGAAACTGAATATCTGAGGCTTTTCTGAAATAAAGACACTGTACATCAGAGCTCCCCGTGTGGGCATATTTTGGTCTGGTGGGCATATTTGAACTTTTGAAGACATGTGATAGGCACAAAATGGTCAATATGGCCAGCCACAGTACACCTGTATGTCAGAATGCAAACAAAGCATTCAAGCACAGCAGCCCAGTATTTTATTTTCCAAGATTTTCTCTGGGGTCTATAAGGTTACGCTTAAGGTTGGTGCTCTCCTCTGCAGCCTCCTGATCTCCAATTGACTATTTTTTAATTAAAAGAATTTTAAAAGCATAGCATTAGGTACGCCAGGGAGCTTGGCAAGGAAGAAATAACATGACAAATTGTTTTCCTCTGGGCACCATTTGGGGATCCAAACTGTACATGTTTAAAGCCTATTGAAAAGGGGGGTGCTGTTTTCCTCATAAGTTTAAATGGCCTCAACCAACTGTGGTTCATCCACATCAGATCCATATCTGGGGAGAGAGGCTGAAGATAATTCTTCCTCACATTCTTTTAGGCTAGAATGCCTATACCCCCAGAGCAAATGGTTATATTCTTAAGATCAAGGAAGATTAGGAGTAGGGCTACCAGATATAGGCTATGAAAATTGAGAGCACCAGCAGATGGTAGCACAGAGATAAAGTTGTCTATACATCTGTGCTGCCATCTAGTGATTATTTCAGTATTTGCAGTTCCAGAGGCTTGATCTGAATCCTACTACTTTGTTTTGTTATGGGGTTTGGGTTTGTTTTTTTTTCCCAGCAAAATATGGAAAGTCAAATCATACCAAGTTGTGATTCTGCTGAACTGTGACCAATCTGAAAATCTTTGGTAGAACCTGTGAAACACAGTATTTATTGTTGGTGTTTGGTGCATGCCCTTAAGGGGAGGCATTTTTCTCACAAAGGTGTTGGAGGATACATTTGGAGGCCCTGCTTGGGAGCATCTTTGTCTGGGAATGATACATTTTGGTTGTTTTGGATCCCACCAGTGGAAGCAAGGCAAGGGCAATACAGAAATTAAGTCTGTTAAAACAAATCAGGTTCCTAATTCAAGTTTTGCTTTCTATTTCAGTCGGGATTCCAACAGAGTGATTCACTACAGTGGTGGAAGCATGCTGGCCATTGGTTCTCTGGATCGAAAAGTCCGCTTTCTGGATATAGAGAAGATTAAATATGTCCCTCCTGTCCTCTCTGGTCACGCTGGTAGTATTAGAGCGTTATATCTCAGTGAACAGAAAGGATTCCTCCTGAGTGGCAGCTATGATCTCAGTATCAGGTGAGTGCTTTCGTTTTAATGCTCTGAGCCTTTCTTCACAGCAGGATGGTTTAATCTCCCTTTTTCAGAAGTTAGTTTCTGCTCTTTGGGTTGAATGGTGCTGCATCAGTGACACATGGCACATGAGTATGAACTCATGTTAAAAGACAACAAGGATCAGCTCATTTTATTCTAGTTGTATTCTACCTTGTTCTAGTCCTGTTTGTAAAGTTGTCTGCTTATCATTCTCTCGAACTCCTTTTTTAGAATGTGGAACATCAAAACTGGGACATGTGTGAAAATATTTATGGGCCACAAAGGGAGCATCACTTGCTTGGATGTGTACAAGAGCAGATTTGTGTCTGGATCCAAAGATTGCTCAGCAAAATGTGAGTAGCAGCTTTAATCCTCTTTGAGAAGTAGGAAAAAAATCAATGACTTTAGCTAAAATGCTAAAGTTTGTAAAATAAGATCACTAGTAGGCTCTACGATGAAATAATGCTCACCTGATAACAGACCAGCCATGACTTTTCCCAACATAAATCAGGGGCATGTACTCAGCCCAAGAGCTACACTAGGCTTGGCGTACCATGCAGAGAACCACACTCCAAAAGTCAGTGGGGCCATATTTCCCGTTGTTTAAAAATGTTGCTTTGTTCATTTTTACTTTAAAATGGTAGTTTTTCTGGAGTTTTAGGAAGCAGCTCCTTCCACCCTCATCAGCAGAGGGTGAAATTACATTCTTGTTTTTCCAATATTATAGCACCCCCAAGAGTTAAGAAGGAAACTCAACAGCTCTTCTCTTCTCTTCTCTTCTCTTCTCTTCTCTTCTCTTCTCTTCTCTTCTCTTCTCTTCTCTTCTCTTCTCTTCTCTTCTCT